CTGTAAAACACGCTACTATCGTGATGAAAGCAAGAAGGGTATGCCGAGTAGGACAGAATGGCGTTACTAAAGGCTGTTATTTTTAGTTAGATGCATAAAACCGTAAGTAATTTAATGTCCATAAAGTAGACACGCAAATACTTCTGTTATCGATCATAAAAACAATGGATACCACATGACTGAACGGCATATTAATAATAATAATAATTTTTATTTCTGTAACAGAAACCAGCCATTTTTACAGGCATGAACATATGTACACTTATGAAAACTTATAGAATATGTAATATGATTTGTTAATTTAGATTTAAGTTGAATACTGGTAAATGTGAGAGAAACATTTAAAATGAAGTGTACAAATAAGGAAATAGATATAGCGTCAAATCTAAACTGTGATTGAAAAAAAACACATGTCAATTCCACGCGGGAACCATAAATGATTGCGTTAGTTGGGAAGGTAAGTAGCATTTCTGTACAGGTGCTGACGTGGTACATAAGAGATGCAGAATAAACAATAATTATCAGTAAATCATTCAGAAAGAGTTTTAAAGTCTATTAAATTTTAAATTCACCTGTAAGTACATCATATTTGTGACATTTCCAGTTGTTTATATACTATGTATATTACAAATAAGCACAAATTGTTTCTTAGCTCATTGTCAAGTAAACAATCTATTTGACAGTGCCAGTGTATACTGGCAAATTAATAAAGTAGATATTAACCCTAAGTTACTACATCTGCTTGTACTACTTGTACTGAACTGGATAAATCTTTCCTAAGCAACGGGGTACCAATAACCAAAGTCAAGTCAGTATTTATAATAATAATAATCACTTTATTCCACAACAATAACAATTGTCTCATCCTAGACAGATCACAGGTGGTGTCAATGGAGTTGAAGATTGAACGATCAATTCATGGTTGTTTGCTCAAAATCAACTTCCCCAATTTTCGCGGAGGCATTAATACGACAGTCATCGTCTCATCGGTCGCTGTTCAGAAAGAAGAGTAAAATATCGTCAGAAGTAATATAACGATTTATTATTGTAATATTTGTTTACAGACCTTAGTTCGCTTATTCCTTTTATATGTTGGTGTAACAATAAACAAATCTAACGCGGCAGATCAGTGTTTTGGTTTTTGCGTCCGTTATAACTAAGCGTTTCTGAGAAATCTTCGAAGAACAGCGTGGGCCCGAGCGTAGCGAGAGCTGGGCATTAACGGTTTATGAGACGTGATTGGCATGTGGAGTTGTGCGAGGTTGTGTCTCTTGGTAGAGGAATAGGAAAATGTCGATTGCTGTTTTTTGTGCAACTTGGAGTAGTAGACGGATATGATTGACTCTTCATGTGATACTGTTCAATTCTACTTGTGCAAGCCTGGTCTAATGTAATTGACTTTCCACTGTAAAGATGAGCTAGAGGTCCATGTGCATCTAACATATTGGTGACCATTTTTTTCGGGTCTGGGCTTCAACTTGGGCTATTCGGTGTTTCCTCGTCGATGGTCAACAGAACAAGTAGTACATTTTATGGAGGGTTTGTGTCGATTGGACACAACAGACCGTTCCGTTTTCTCTCACTTGATTAGTAACTGTTTAACTTCTATTCCGACCATAATAGTGTAGGGTCTATTCAACAGTGAACGGTGTGTTCACTTGGAGGCAGTTAGAGATTGAGAAATTCGAAAGACTGAGACGAGTTACTATATGGGAACTATATTTTCCATGATTTGTAAGCTTCTCCTACCTACTGTATGACAGCGAGTGATGAAAACCCGTCCATGCACTTGGCTGGGCTTTCTCTCTTCACTTGACAACTGCTGTCCTTTGGAAAATAAATGTCCAAAACTTGCACTTGTCTTCGGTAAAGATAGGTGTTGCCGGTTGTCAACTGGAATAATAATTTCGATAGAATAGTCCGCTACTGGTACATCTCAGCCTTATCATCCAGGGCACTGTGGTTGGCATTGATTGATTGTAAGTTTTATTTAAACTGTCCTACTTTGAGATGTTAATCTGTTTTATTAGATCAAAGTACACAAGGCAGAGAGCGACCTTCACCGTCCGCATTAAGGACTGCTCTGGAGTGAACTCGTTTCAATCGCTACATGCAAGGGCAAAGTTTGTCTGAGAGTAATCCATGTGCATTTATAAAATGGAGGGAGGGTGGCGCATGCTGATCAGTAGAAATGGTGGTGGTCACAAATGTGAGTCGCTCCTGTCTGTAGGACAGCGACATTCATTTTTCGATAGCTCGAGAATTAAACATTAGTTCGGACCCTCAACAAAAAAATTAGGGTTGTACATATCTAAAGTCCAATCAAACCCTCAACAACAAAAAATAAAAAATAAAAATAATACTGATAAAAGTTGTACAGATCTAAATTCTAAATAAAAAGCGCCTTTGCTCCTACCCTCTACAAGCCTGTTTAGCTTCTTACCAAGATACTACCCATTGGACCCTACAGGAATTCGTGAGACATCTTACAGGTCAGTTTGTCCTACGAGTTCTAATTTTCCAGCTCTTTGAATTCACTCCTCAATTAAATATCACTTCCCTACCCCACAATAATCTTTTCATTTACGCACTATTATACTCTAATTTATGTTAACTACTTAGGCCATTATCAAAGCTTCAACTTCCCCTTTGTTCATATTAGTTACTTGCCCAAAGGCTGGTTGCTTTGATTAAAAACACAACAACACCAACGTTCGAACAAAGCCATATCTTCATCGAAAACATCAAGTTTCCATGCTTTGACCAACATGGTTAGCATTAAACATTTCAAATATATACTATCATTTCAAGCACTATCTAGCTTCTTCTTACATTTATCTTGTAAGTAAACTTCCAATAATGTATTGTTTATAGTTGCATTTTATACCATTTTGCAGCTGCACGGAATTTTCTTCTCTTCTTGAAATAGCGCTCAGTCACATGGTGGCAAGCACTCACCCAGATATATGCTGTTCACCGGTTGATCATAACTATCAGCAGGAAACGGATTGAAGTTTGGGCTGTCGCTCAACTTTGATGGTGACCTTAGTAAATGGTTTACAATTTAATATTTATAAGAACCTGTTCTGATTGCTTGCACAATGACTGAACAATCTAGTACTTTGAAAAGTATTAATTTATGATACTTCAGGATCGTAATTTATAAAAATACTGATCGTGCCTCTACAGATGACAAGCATTTCTTGTAAACTTACCCGTTTATACGAAATATAAATTATTATTATTATAAATCGCGTTTAGTTGGTACACTGGGTCTTATGTCCTTTTCAGCTGCTTGGTAGATTCATGGGGTTTATGTTACCATAATATTTGTGTAGGTTAAATTCCTGATTATTTTTAAGAGCCTATAATCAATCATTGTATGGGACCAAATATTGGCAATTATAACTGCACAACTATATAAGGATTCAGTGTGCTAAGCAACTCGCAGTAGAAGATCCACCGAAGCCTTTGAAGTGAAGACAGGGCTATAACAACAACATCCTTACTGACAGCGACGGACTGGGTCATGTAGCAGACCATGAAGGGTGTGAAGTCAGGTGAACGCTGGATTAAAGAAAGGACCCTAGGGAACCTGTACTTCGTAGATGACACCTAGTAACCAACGTTAGTATCAAATTAATTACTAAGACATCAGAACGAGAGGCGCACATAATTCTATAAGCTCAACATAGGAAAGAAACCTTATCAATCACTCGAATGTTATAGTCCACAATTACTTATTAACTTGTCCTTCTATGCTTTTTAACTACCAGGCTTCAGCTGAGCGACCTTTAAGTTTAAAGGGTATGTTGTGTGGACTGTGTGCATCTACGTCTTATTTCAAGTAAAGTGGAAGACACACAAACGGAAAATAAGGAGTTTGTGGAACACGCATTGATGACGGAAATTTAGGTGAGTAAGAATTTTAAAGAATGATGAAGAAGCCTTTTTAACTTTTAAAAGCATGAATCACCGTCCCTTGAGGAAATATAAGGGGAGACGTCTCCTTTACTTACTGACCTATGTGGTACCGCGTCAACTGTACGGATGAGAATGTCAAAGTCAACCAGAATCGGGAAAGCAAGACTAAGTTCATTACCCCGAAATTAGTATAGAAATCTGTACCAGTCATCGCAAAGAATCTAATGTGGATTTTCAAAACTAATGTCAAATAAGTGCGCCCACATTATTTAGAGATTAAGCACGCCCATAACCTCAGGCATTTCCAGCAGGTTTCAGACTTTTGTCAACAAATGACTGTCTTTGTTTGACACTAAAGATCAGACGGCAGGCAGGTAAAAAGGGATTATGTTTATTCATAGATTCAGCCAAGCACATATGTAGGATAAAATTGTAATGGACTGAACATGTGCTGGAAGAAACTGGAAGTGACGACAAACGAGTTACTGTGGAGTAGGACCAAAATGTTGAGTGACGAGTCGAACGTTGTAGATTAGGATGGAGATCACATGAGAGGAAGTAAAAGCTTATGAGCAGTTATTAAGCCAATTGAAAGTGATTGAGGAGGACCGAGGAAGTTGCAGATTTCATACTGAATCCCAATGCTGCACTCTGAATGTAAGGAATGAACAACCATAATCGTTTCCATAGCCTATTAGCGTTGGACTGCAAGTTTAGTGTCCAGTTTATTGATGTATAAATCAACTGTGGCAAGTTATTGTCTAAACACGAAAAAGAAGGAAATGGTGGCGCATTCAGACCTTCGCTATCCGATGTTGCGATCCTTCATCAGTTGCCAAGAGGAAAACCGAAATAACCAAAGCAGGACACACTCGACTGGGTGTTTTTGTCGTTTCTATTCAACAGTTCTTCAATAGAATACTGTGACACTCTGAATTTTGTGTTGAGAAAAAATCAGATATGTATCATTAAAACCATTCACACTGGTAAGCGTCTCAAATGATATATTTAGTGGACGTCTTTGAAGCTTTTAGTTATCCGTTTTAATGCTCCAATGAATGGTGCCATTTGGTTTTGGCGGGGTTGGATTTTTGATGGTATGCGACGGGTTTCACTTGGTACTTAGTGCGTTATAATAGGATTTTGTGATTGTCGACCAATTTTAGCTGACTTCTTGTCATTATTCCGTTAACGTTTTTGTGCTTATGTGTTAATTTGATACTATGATTAGTCTTCATTAGTGTTGCAAGCTTAGGCAAGTGGGAATCCGAATTTAGAAATTCTGTAGAATTTTCTAAAAGTCTGATGAGTAAGATAGTGGCCTTAAAGAGCCTAAAACTTATGAATAATTCGAGTCGAATATGTGCTAAGTCTACTTTAGTTTTCGACGACATGGGTTGAAATTTGATCTAGAAGTTCTCCAACTGACTTTCTCTTCAATTCTGCTGCAGATATTTCGCGACAGAATCGTAGGATGCATTGAGGAAAATACAGAATTTGTCTGCAGTGTACTCTAAATCTGTCGCAAAGTGTCTGGAGTGCGCTCCTAGTGTGGCCGAAAGTTTGTATATGTATATTTGTATATTGAATACATAACACCACAAAACCGTTTTGTTTAGTTCATGCAGCTGCGTCGAATGTTATAGCTGCATGTTTTCCTAGATTTTCTCTCTCGCCAGGGTGTAATATAATGCGTGCAAGTCTGCTGGCTCCAACCATGTATTCAAACTCATTCATTGCACAACAGGCTGGATTATTTTATCTAGTGAACACAGGATGAGGAAGAGTTTCTGGAGTCAATTAGGAACTTCTAACGCTACTTACCTGTACCTTACTAAGAGTCCCACATAAGGTTTCAGAGCTTCTGTCGTTATCTTTGTGTAAATTTAGGGTTTACATTGCTTATAGTCTTATGAGACGCCATGTTCCTCCGGGTTAGGCTAATAACTGTGATGAAACTACACATATGTAACCACCTGTCGTGGTTTTTAGCTGTTTTTTCTATCACTCAAGCATTTCAATAGTTCAATTTTTACTGACATCGGATGGAAACAGCCTAAATATCCACTTAATTGTGTAGCTTCCCTGTGTGCACAAGTGCTTAACTTCCCTTCTTTTTCTTTTTTATGACAGTCTATCGTTTGAGGGTCCTCCTGGTGATTTTCTAACTTATGAGTCCACTGTTACTTTTGCTCAGAACAAAATATTCAGAGCAAACAATTGTTTTCAATAAATTCTTCTTCAGGCTCTACAATTATAAATCCATAAATTTAAGCATACAATAGCCAGTAAAGGCAAATTAGAATCACATCAGAAAGTTGCTTTCAGAAAATGTTTCTTCCCCGTTTTTAATACTGCGGATGTCATATATTTATATATAATATATAGCTGTACTAAATTTTGAGGGTAGGGATGGATGTTCCAAGCCCTATCTTCTGCCATCTTCCCTTAAACATATCCACCACAACTTCGCATATCGGTAATCCTATGATGAGCCCCTCGGTTTAGCCAGTGCATTTTCCCCTGGAACTTAAATACTAGGGTATTTAGCAATAACTAAATCCTTAAGGCGGTCTTCTAGTGATACTTTCGTTCTAAGTCGGTGTTTTTGGTCAGAAATGAGTTCGTCTCAAAACACTTCTAGTCATGTTTATTTGTATGTTTATATGAACTGATGATATCGAACCTAATCATATTTTCATCGCCTAATTTTGTTACTGAAGCAGAATTAGTAAGTCTATATTTGTAACTGTTTCTGTTTTGACATGTTCCCATGGCTAAATGTTTAGACAATATGTAATTTGATCTTTATTTCAAATCATTCAGAAGGCTAACGGGATATATCCTACTAGGGTTATTATTTCTAGCTATTAAATTGAGCCATCAGGACTCATATAGATGCGGTTTCCTTTGGCGTATAAGGTTTCCTTAGGGTTCCTTAACTTGATGCATGATACTGGCTCTTAGTTCCTTAATTTCTCCAGCTTATAATACTGTTTCACTGAAATCTATTTAATAAATTTATTTATTTATTTATTTAAACGCATAAAAAACTTGGTACAATATGGCACCAAGAAAGATGCGCCACACAATAATAATAAAACAACATGGATCAAAAAAAAAGGAAGGAAGGAAAAGAAAAAATATATATAAGTAGAGAACGGATAAAGAACTTCATCTGGAAGGAAGACATTCATGCTTAACAAGTTCAAACAGTGTTCGTTAGCTATCATCGGAAAGGGAAGAAAGAAGGAAATCGCAACACATTCGCCACTGATTACGATTCTTGGCCATATCCGATAACGTTTCGAGCCATCGATTTGAGCTATCTCTCGGACTCCAACCAGGGAGTCGTGACACACCAACCGATGCTAATCTAGCACAAATATTTAATAAATAAATTAGTATGTGACCCTGTAGTTATTCCTGAATTTGAAGAGAAATAGTCCATATGTTATCTATGCTTTATGTTGCTTTCTAATTATAGTACACTTGTCCGACTGAATTCTAAGTTGGAACTTTGCATGGAGTTCCAGGAGTTCAAGTACGGAAAGGCAGAATAAAGGGGTTTCAAAAGTACTTTAATACACAGAATGTGAGGAAGAAAGAGTAATAGCATGGAAAACACTAGGGTTTAATGAATGTGGAAGATCGCAAGGAGTGAAGTCATCTGCGCTGTTGAGAACAATTTTGAGCCATATCTCCGAAAGTCTTTGGCGATTAGTTCTTGGAATCGCGAAGACTCCAACCAAAACACAAGCCCAAGTTTTACACATATATTAACAGGACACAAACATTTGTGGTCAAAGATAGCTAGCCTCTTCACATCTTCCACTTTCTGTGGCCATGTCTCACAACCATAAAGGAGAACAGAGCAAACTGCCACACAGTACCCACGTCCTTTTGATCGATAGCCAGATGCGATGTCTATTCAGAGTACCCTGCATTTTGTCAGCGTTCCCACTTAGGAGGACAATATCGAACTCGTACTCTAATTAAACAAAATAATACCCTGGTAACAAGTTCATCCTTTAGATACTAAAGTCGATTAAAGCCAATACCACTCATAGATATATTATGTAATAGTCTGAAATGGAGGCAGCCGGCATCCGTGACGGCCACCACTGGTTGTAATATCTTTAGCGCTCTTCTCATCTGCTCCTTAGAGTACAAAACTTGTAGAATTGCAATTGGAAAGGCAGCAGAATGTCTTCAGTACAATAAATGTGTAATTTAGACAAGGTTAGACGCATTTGAATGATCTGTCTTGCTGACTGAAGATTCTAGCCATTGTTACTTGGTTTCTTTACGTGCCTCAAATTGGCTGGCAATCACTTCGTGAATAAATGGTGCTTTCGGTGGCTACTTGTGTAAAACCTCAGGAAGCAGTGGTATACGTACGCCTACAATTATGTGGAGCTTTTAATATCGCTTCAGTTAGGCGTTCTGGGATCTACTGTTTTGTTATCAAGGTGTGGCAGCGTAGGCTGTGTAACTGGCTTAACCAATTCTATCCTGACAAGAATGCTTGTAATTTTCGACATGTAACTAGTAAGGATAGATGATACTTAATAGTGCACTCAGGCGGGACGGTAAGAATCTATGGTTGGAAACAGTCGGTGACATGGCTCAAAATCGTTCTCAGTGGCGCAGATGCATCCACTCCTTGTGACTTATGATCTCCAATGAAACTTTTGTTCTTCGTTATTACTCCTCCTTTGTCTCACACCTCTGCTCACTGTCTCTATTATGCTTTCCTTGTACTTTCTCCTCTTGCTTCGCGTGCTACACAGAGTGTGGCGACTTGAACTTCCGCGCGTTTGTGCAAAGTTCTATGTTGAAAACAGACAGACAGTGCACTCAGACAGTGGTGGGTCATATTTACTACTGCTCTGTTAAGCGACTACAGTTGATGAACTCATAAGTAACCTACGGTTCTACTTCCTGGTGAATGCCAGCTTACTTGGAGTAGGGATGAGTGTACTCTTTAGAACCTTGACTGCTAATCAGTCAAGTTTCCATGGTGTGAACCATGCACCTCTAGCAGTGCAGCCAGAATTGTTATTTTGCGTTATTCGTGGACATAAAGCAAAGTTGAAGTCAGGGAGTTTGATTTCTAGAAGTATATTTGCGCGTAACACGTGATATGATGTTATTTATTCTCTCATTCCTCTTGCAGGATTCAAAGTCGTACTACCTCCAATCACCACAAAACAATTTCCAGTCAGTCAGAATGAGTTCAAAGGTATGAGAATTATCTTTGTAGTTAATTTTTTCCAGAGTGATATGCGCGTGCCTAAGCCTCCTAAACCACCTGAGAAGCCGTTGATGCCGTATATGCGGTACAGTCGTAAGGTGTGGGAGCAAGTGAAGAATTCGAACCCACATCTGAAATTGTGGGAGGTGGGTAAGATTATTGGTCAAATGTGGCGTGAACTACCTGACGATGAAAAAATGTTGTACATGGAAGAGTACGATGCTGAGAAGACACAATATACAGAGTTGTTACGTCAGTACCATACTTCACCGGCTTATCAAGCCTGGTTGCTCGCAAAGGAGAGAGGTAACAAGTGTTGATGATGATAGTGTGATAATAATCTGCATTGTTGTTCAGCGGAGAAAAGCATGGAGGAACAAGACCAGGAACGAAGACAATCGATTTTGAGATCAAGAGATCGTGGTAATGAAGTCCCTCAAGGAGACTTAAGGGAATCTTACATCTTGGAAGATAACGAAGAAGGTACTTTCTGTTTTCAATAATATTATGAGTGTCAACTGAGTTTGTGAACATTCCCGTCAAAGTAACCAGTAGGGTACAGCAGGTCGAAGATGAGGCAGTAACTCATCGAAGAAGACATTGCGAAGTAGTCGTGCTATGTCGTGAACTGGCAGAAGTTAGAATTCAAGGACCATTGGATCGGGTCCCAGTGGCTCAATGGTGTACGAGCTCGCCTTGTAACCAAAAGGTCCTGGGTTCGAATCCCGGTGGGTGCGTACTGCTGAGTAGTCCCAAACTAGGACGAAACGGCTGTCCAGTACTCCCAGGTTTTCCAGTGGTTCTCTAACTGATGTCAGCTCATGATTAAATCCTCCATGCAATCAAACAAAATCCCTACAAAAACCAATACTTGAAAAGTAATAATAGTAATAACACCTAGTAGCCAGAAATCGAAAAGCATATACCGTGTGTGATGTGTACAAGTTAGTTGAACCAGTTACTTAACCAGTGATGTTAGTGACAGTGTATTTGCGTTATGTTTTCGAGTTGACACACCTTTGAACACATTTCTTTGTATAACTCCAGTGGTGCCTGATATTCAACGAGCGACTGAACCACTCGTGGAAACCACACTGGTTATGTTGTATCGTAGATGAGAGTTTTGGATGTGAGAATGTGTACAAGTCTGAGTACTTTTGCCTTGTACATACCACTTTGTTGTCTTTGTTATCATCTGATAGGGACAAATTGAACCAAACGTTTCGTGATTCTTTTTGTTAGTTGAGTTTGGAGTTGTCGAGTATAGGTCCAATAGTTGACTAGCTCCCTCTAGTTATATTTCGTTAGGGAGTGCTCCAACCTCAGTTTTAGTACATTTCACAGTACTTAACCATGAGAATGGACGCACCAGTGAGTGTTACGTAAGCTACTAAGGGAAATCTGGTTGGTAGAATATACTTTACTTGACAGTTTGTAGTATTTCTCTTCGAGTTGACGAACTTTGTTTGTTATGTTTTGTTTGTTTTCTGTGTAGATACTGAAGATCAGTACACTGCAAAACATGTAGCTGCAGCTCGTTTCCAAAGAAATCACCGTTTGATGCTAGAAGTGTTGAGTGATGCTAGACTCCCTGATCCTGGCCAATTGATAACCCAGAGCAGATTGGACATGTTGCGCCTGCAAGTGGAACAACTGAGAAATCACAAACGCAACCTATGTCAAGAGATTGACGGGTGTGAAGCACGTCACCAAGCCAAGGTTCAACGTATCCGTGAAGAGTCCGAGCGTTTTCGACTAGAGTACGAGAAGATCAAAGCAGGACGGCCAGTTATCACGGAGTCTCAGTTTGCTGATATGATAGTTAAAGCGAAGCAGGATATACAGCGTGAGGAGGAAGATCGGAAGTCTCGTTATTTGGCGGAGTTGGAGATGAGACGTCGACGTCAGCAGCAACGACAGCAGCGAGAGGCGGAATTGCTGGAGTCAGAACGCCGACGTCAGTTACTGCAGCACCACCAACAACAACAGCAGCAGCAACAACAACAACAGTTGCAGCAAGCTCATATGCGACCAGCACATCCACCTGTCGTTCATGGTGATCCAAATATTCAATTTACTGACCGTCCACTGGAAAGACTAATAGTTCAGGTGTGTATTCATTTGTTGCTTACCCTGTTGCCACTGGGACGACTGAAGCAACTTCGTGTGACGTTACTTGCTGTAGCTGGTGTCATAAACACCGTGTCTACTGATGAGTTGTGCAAATTATTTTAATGTGAATAGGTTGTAACTGCTGAATTAGTTGTGATAGAGAAGTCATGGTTATGTCATTAATGTTTACTGAACTGGACTGGATAGGTTTGAGTTGATGATGTTGTTCAAAGTTCAAAGCATGCTTCATCGAGTGATATGTCGGTGGCCTATTAGTTCCTTTTGTTGTGCATGTGTGTTGCATGTACATAGGGCGTTCGTCATTATTCCTTTTCACTTCATATCTACGTCTTTACTTTCAGTCTGTTGCGTCTATATGTTTTTGTTTAGTGAAGTGTGAGAAATGAGTGCAAAAGGTATGACCAAATAGTTAGACCCCAGATTGTTGAAACAAATTATGTCGTTCGGAATCTTCAGGCAACATAAATCCGTGTGTGGAAATACAATATGGTGTAGTTAGTTCGGTGCTTTGTATTGATGCACATGACTTTAGTCGGCTCATCACTCTCCATCTGTAGGAATTCTGTTGCTGTTCAGTTAGTTGGGAAATCACTGATGCGTGTTACAATTGTGTATTATCTGAGATAGGATGCATTGGTCTTTGATGATCTTTGCCTTATTGTGGTGATTGGAAACACCGGAATATGTGATGATAGGGTCATACCGACTGACTTTTGCCTATCAGCTCAACAGTGCAGTGCATTCGATATTATGTATTAGTATTTTGTAGAAGAAAGTAATTATTCCCTCACTGGTAGGTGTGTGTGGCCCTGTATCACCCAATAATCAATATGTCAAAGCTAAGGTCATTGTGGCAGAGAAATAGTGTTGAGAAGATCTTCCCCTTATGTTAAATAATAATAATAATAATAATAATTTTTCCTTCACGTTCCCCAGTGGAACATAGGGCTTCAAGGTAGTAGCTTGAAGTTTCTGTAGCAGAGTTTATTTTACAGGATGGGGTTGCTAGCCTCATGCCCAACCTTTGCTCTTTACCAGAATTATTTCTGGCTTAGAGAGGTAAAGGTGTGCGTCGGCCGGGGATCGAACCCCGGACCATGTGCATGGTCGGCGAGCGTCCTAACCGCTATACCACCGACGCACACCCTTATGTTAAATGGAAGGCATTTTTTAAAATTATTCCTTCACGTTCCGATTGGAACATAGGGCTTCAACCTAGAGGCTTGAAGTTTCTGTAGAAGCGGTGGTCATTTTAACAGGATGGGGTTGCTAGCCAGCCTCATGCCCAACCCTCCCTCTTTACCAGTTTTTTATTACTGGCTAACTGAGGTAAAGGAGTGTGTCGGTGGCCGGGGATCGAATTCCGGGCCACATGAGGCGTGGTTGGCGAGCATTCTACCGCTGTGCCACCGACGCACAAATGGAATGTATAGGTGTGAAAAAGTGAAGAGGTGGATTCCCTCCGTGTTAATGTTAAACTTGAAATAAAGTGACTAATATATAACGTGGGTTATAATTGTGAGGACGTTTTACGTGCCAGATGACTTTCACATATATTCCCTCTTATGCTTGTCTGTTTTGAAGTTAGTGGTGTGATTTTGCGGAATGAAGTCAAATGTAGATGAGAAGTTCATATAAGATATGCTTGTGTGTTTGTGAGTTTATGTTAATCAGTATTGGGTTTGATTTTTCACATGACTGTTTTTGTTGAATACTTTGTACCAGGATAAAAGGGAAGATGCAAGTTGTCAGCCTACACCATCGAAGTTACCGGCCACTTCAACAAGTCTAGTAAATCCTGTAAGTGGGAAAGGAGCTGCTTCTGAGGTAGTTCACTCTGGGAGTGGTGCAGTGTACCCTTCTGGAATATGCAATGCTTTCACACAGCCTGCGAATCAGAATTCAGTATCCAGGTTTCCTCAGTCTGGTCACACGCAACATCACTACCCACCGCCACCACATTATATACCTAGTGCCGTGCCACCGGGAAATCCCACCAGTTTGGTTCATCAGCGTAGTCCGTTACCAAGCATTCAACAAGCCACGCCAAGCAATGCGGCTAAAGCCAACTCAACAACACCCGTGAACCGTACGAAGAAAGTTGCATCATCTGGATCGTCTACTTCATCTGCTTCTTCAGCCTCTTCGACATCTTCGAAGAAGAAGAAGGCTGATTGTGATGTGAGCAAAGAAGCGACGAGTCAGGAAATGCGAGAACGGCCGACTTCTAGTTCAGGTGAAAGTGTTGTGGACCCTAACCAGATGAAGTCTAATGATTTGGCGAATGTGACTCCTGGCCATTCGAATGAGTTTCAACAAGGGTTATCAGGACAGCCGAGGCACGTTGTTGCTTCTCAGTACCAACCAAGTAATGTCCCTTCAAACGTTGTCAGCTCAGCCCAGGTGTCTGGGGCTCCAGTACAAGCACCGTACGCGTACGAGGTTAGCATGTCGAATCCATCAAACCCCCCACCTCTACCTGGTGGTGCTTATTATCCCCATCATCCGCCTGTTACCATGTCTAATCCCAGTGGTTATTCTCATGCACGCGTCCAATTCTCACAACACACTCCTTACAACGCTATGCAGTACCACCATATGCCTCAACAAGCGTCTTCGGAGCAGCCACAGCCGCCACCACCACCACCTATGTATGTGCAGCATATGGCACAGAATGCTGCACCGCATGTCCCACAACAACCTGGAACACCAGTGGGAGGACCTAACCAACATCCTCCTAGCCACATCCCACAAGCACCACCACCACCTCACCAACACAATGCAAGCAATTGGCATCCAGCAGGTGCATCACCATACCCTGCACACTATGGTCCTTCTCGTTATCCAGTTCCGAGTGGTGGTGGTCACGTGGGTTATCCTCCCATGCAACCGCCACGTAATTTTGGCCCGAATTCTGGTGGATATTCTTCAGTGCCTCATTATTTGGTTGGTCAGCAGAACCCACAAGCCCATCCTCACCAAAATGTCCCCCAGCTGTGCCAGTTAGTCTACAAGATGGATCGAGTGGAGGATCCCAGCCAATCCCAGCACCACCACCGTACCAGCAGCAGCAACAACAACAACAACAGCAGCAGGCGAGTTCTGTCGTTGGTTATTGGCCGACACAACATCAAGTACCTCCAGACTATGTTCAGAGTCAACAACCGTCTCACTACGCGGTGGCGCCTGGTTCTCAATCAGAGAGTATGGGAGGCGCAAACCAGCAGCAAGTATTATCATCGGTGGATGGTGTCCATCCATGTTCTGGTATATCTGGACCTCCTGGGGATGGTGGGATGGGTCAAGTGCAAATGGTGCCGTCGAACCAATCTCAGGGAGCGAACATTTATTATCCAGGTAATCAATCCCTTGTCATTTGTTTTGTGTATGACGTCATTTTGTACGCAGATGGCATTGGAGAGCTATTGTGCTCAACAAGAGTTATTTTTGACTGATTCACGATGATTATTAGTGGAATGATGACATGGTTTGCGAAGGGAGTTGGTGTTGGTAGTTTAGTTTGTAGATCGTTTGGCTGGTTGGCAGTCACTGGCTCGTTTCTTGCTATGAGTATATCAGGCTTAGTCGTCGTCACTCACTGCATCAGTGTTGGTCAACTAACGGAAGTCGATTTGAGTAGGTGTCAGTTTATTCTGAATCAGTGAAGCACTGACTTGAGTAGGATGCATATATATGCTTCACATTATTAAGGCGAATGTAGATCACAATATGCATGAGTAAGATGAGTTTTATTTCCTGAGTAACGTGAGGGTATAATTGTAAGGTAAGGTAACAGTTATGCACTTGTGTGCACTTGAGAACTCTGCTTCTGGTTGTATTATTTTGTGTAGTCACTGTGAGAGATGATTGCTGGTGGCTTTCCCTTTAGGCTGAGAATGGATCATTTTTGTTGGTAAATCCTCTTCACATCATGTATGTTGGAAGTATTTTACGCTTTTGCGCTTTTCTATCTCACATTGGTTGGGTTTCGTCTTGATCATCTCACACTGTTCACCTTTTGTAGATATATATCTATTGTAAATGAAATCGTTTTATTACTATCGCTTAAGGATTCGTTTTTCGGATTATTATTAGTATTAGTTTATTATTATTATTGTGATTAGTATATCGCGGAAGTCATGATAATTTCACAGTTTATGTTGGTGGTTGGTTACCTGTGAAGTTTCACTACTTCATTGAGTATGGATAAGTAGTAGTTTAGTTCTCCATCAAATGTCGATAGTTGAAGTTTGTTAACTGACAAAGTTGGATTGTGTGCTTACGCATATTCACAAGAAATGCATTAGATGGAGAAGTGAATGTGGTGTGTTGCATTGTTCATTTTGTCACATTTCTATTGACAAGGTGTCTGATTTATTTTTGTAGGTGGACCTGTCCCGCCTTACCCTCATGGTGGACCGAATGGATTTTATTCAGTGCCACCCCAACATCACTACGCTCCTGCTCCTGCTCCTCCTCCACATCAGCCTGGTGGAAATCCGTGGTCATGTTACCCTAATCCCGGTCCACCTCAGATCCCGAGTTACCCACCACCACAACAACCACAACAACAACAACACCCGCAACAGCAACAACAACAACAACAGCAGCCGCCACAACATCCACACCAATCTCCTCAGTGTAATGTTGGTTCAAGCTATACTACGCCTCAAATGGCGAATAAGCCTGAACAGTCTGTGGTGGGAGCAGCGAGTGGTACAGAGAATTCAGGTGGTGGTGGTGTATGTGGAGCGGGGAATTCCAACAGTCGTCCACCGTCTAACAATAATTAATTATTTGATGGGATCATATATGATTATTGCATTTTAGTTATTTTGAAAGCAGTGCTTTTATTGTGAATTGTCACTCACTAACTCATTGCTTAGTTAGTTGAACTCTACTCTATTTCCGACTCTTGTCATCATCATCACCACTGTTGGATTCTTTTAATATTCTCTTCTTTTTTTGATTACTCATAAGTTGTACTCTTTCGTCCATTAATATGTCCGTCATTTGTGTGTGTGTGTGTTCACAGTATTTCAGGTTTATTAGACGTTTGGGTATTTTTCTGGATATGTCTGCAGGTGGTTTCAGTTGATTGATTGATTGATTACTCCTTGTCTTTGTTATCATGTACTGTACATAAGTTTTGTTGAGCGGAAAACAGATTGATTTAAGACAAGGCGTCTTGAGTATTTTTAACAATGTGTGTGTGTGTGTGTACTTGACGACAGTATTCTGAGACACCTATATCATTGTTGACACTGATATATACTGCTGCTAGATGAACTAGGATGACGAACAGACTTAGCAGATAAATTGTAATAGTTATCCACTGTCGGCTAACCATGATCATTTTTTTGTTAATTGCGCTTTTGGTCACTTTGAAGCGTCAATGTACTGCAGCATTGAAGACAGTTAGTTGTCCTTGGACTGACTGTCTCGGGCATTGGAGTTTGCTCTCGAAATTTATCTCATTTTCATGTATCATCCAGTTGCCTTTTTGTGAACAAAGGCTGTGTAATAAATGTTGTGAAATGTGAGTTTGATGATTTTGAAAATGGCGTTTGTCACATCATATTGACGTAGGGATTAGATTAGTGAAGCAACTGGGAAATTTCCATTCAGCTGTGCTAATTTTATCCTTCTTAGAATATCACACGAACAGCATACTCAACCACTTGTAACTGGATGGATACATGAGTTTGTGTATTTTGACGAATTAAACGTGTCAATAGGTTTGTGGAGGTGGTTGTCGCATACACGTCACCTACATACATCATTTGCTTGGGAGTCAGTCCTAGAGACATTCGACAGTTTTGTGATCATCGTCAGTTGGATGGTGTGACATAGACGAAACGTAGTGAATTGGCTCGATCAAACAAGTTGACAAAAGTTATCGGAAAGCAGACGTTAGTCACTGGTGATGTTGCTTCCTGTGACTTGACTGACAATGAGATTTTCTTTGTTATCCTGAACACACACCATCGTCTTCCAGATCTCTCACCTCCAATTTTTGTGTAGCTAAGAATGTCTTGTTAGTATGATAGGATTGAGCGAAGAAATATTTCTCAATTCGATCCTCATCTCTGACTGTACTCTTTCAACAGAATGGAGAAAGCAACTTCATCAATGCAGCAGTAGCGATATATTTGTTAACAGGAATTGGTGAATGTCAGGATAATAAGGGAGCGGTAATCAACCAGTAAAATTAATGCTGACCAAGACAGTAGAAATGGTTACAACAAGCGCCTTGCAAGACGCATAATTTTAGGAAAACGAGTAATTTTTTTCTAATGGACAGGTGTGCATGCAGATTACTTAATAGCCGATCAAAAGCGGAGTCAAAATTTTATCACTAGCCTTATGAGGAGGGCGAAATAGTTAGTTAGTTAACATTCATCCAAGGATGGCGAATATAAGGGAAGTGGCTGTACGGATTTCTTGTGAACACAGATGTGGCTTCTTCAGGTGGATTCCGATAGCTTCAGTGGTATTTAAAAGATGAATATGTCAAGCAAAAACTAAGACCAGTTGGAATGCGATAAATATCTGTGAATGCTGTACTCACACCAACTTTATGCTCAATGTCCACTAGTGGTGTTAAGACATAGTTACGAATGGATGTTATTTGTGCCTTGCTTAACCATGCCGGATGATGTTCGGAAATACGATGATGAACCCGCATAATTGTACGCCCCGTGTAACTGGCTTTGCGATTGCAGTCAATTCGATAGAGGCGAAATTAGGTAGCTTGTCCTTGTTTCTCGAACGTAAAATCGGAGCAGTAGTGAAGAGACAACGTACGACTGCTGCACTGGAAAATCTTTGAGCTTCATTCTTCAGGCATTGTGTTAGTATTTCTCTGAATTTATCATTGGGAAACTAACTACAGTTGAACGAAAATGGCTTTTTTGGAGGTTTTCTCCTACTGGCTTGTTATGGTGCTAAGTTCATATATTTCTCAATGAAGTTATCTGGATGACGATTTATACTAAGCGATCCTCTGATAATGCTACGCTCCCCCTTGAATCGTTTTGTACATTTTCATGACACTGATATTACTGTCATTGATAGAAAGCTAGAATGATTTTTGACCAACTTCCAGGTATGTGGTTATTCATGAAATAAATGCCAGCTTGAAATTGACGGTAGATTCATTAATTCTACGTGAAGCAATCTGAACTGTGAAGCTAATTTAAAGCAAAGTTCATGACAACACCAACAAGTAGGGAATTCGATGTTTGGGAAGGTTGACTGCATCGCTAACGTCATCTTTTTTTATCTCACTACTTCATTTTAATTAGAATTTGTGTGAAATTTGTGAATGCTCACAAAACACGCACGTGGTTGGTCCAGGGTTCGATTCCTGACTGGCATACTCCTGAACCTCACTTAGTTTACTAGCTGATAGATAGTCAACCCGGGAAGGAGGGAATATCACGTGTGAGGCTAGGAACCCCATACCACAAGAAAAGAGAACACTACCAGGACGCGAAGGAATGAAAACAGACTTGTAAAATATGATTTCTCTTTCTGATACTGATTGACCAACTTCAAAGAAAATAAACGGATAGTACATTCAGTAAAGATGTATAGTCGTTTGGCTGTTTGTGATGAATGTCTGAGTTCAAATACTGATATCTGTGATTTTATCAAAGTTCACATGTATATCCGAGAAGTTGATAGAAGAAGCAGTCAGTGAAGACAAGACTTCTAGTAAACACTGTCCCGTTGAGTTGGTGTAAGTCAGTGATTGATTATCCCGATATACAAGAAGAGAGACAAGTCTTCCTGTGATAATCACATGGGGATTAGTTTGACCAATATGGTATCTAAATTTCTAAGCTCTGAAGGATGCGCGTGAAGGTGGTGTAGATCTGCTACCTGGAGATAGACTTTTTAACCTCGAGTATGCAGACGATATCGTCTTACTGTGCGATAGCATACAGGCTGCCCATATTGCACTTAATCAGTTGGCGGTCAGTGTCTGTAGGTATGGTATGTACTTTGCGCCGTCTAAGTGCAAATTACTGTTACAAGATTGACAGGAGCCTGTACCTGCACTCACTCTTGCGGGTGAACCGCTTGAAGTTGTTGATATGTTTGTGTATCTGGGTAGATGTGTGATAGCTGGCGGAGCTGTGTTGGACGAGAATCGTAGCCGTGTTATGAAGGCTAGGGTGGCATATATCAACTTGATCAGCCTCTGGCGCCGTCGCGACGTTAGCCTGGCTGTCGAATGTCGGGTATACAATGCTTCGGTGCTGGCTGTCTTGGTCTACGTCTGTGAAATCTGGCCTCTCCGAGTAGGCTGAGGATGTGCGCGACTCTGTGTGTTCGATCATCGCTGTCTCCGCAGGATTGCTTGCGTTCGATGGTGAGACGAAGGTTGTTTGTGCTAGATTTGCATCGGTTGGTGCGTCACGACTCCCTGGTTGGGGTCTGAGTGATAGCTCGAAACGTTATCAGATATGTCCAAGAATCGTAATCCATACCGAACTTGTTGCAATTCCCTTCTTTCTTCCCTTCGTGATGATAGTTAACGAATACTGTTTGAACTTGTTAAGCATTACTGTTTCCCTCGAGTTGAAGTTCTTTATCCGTTCCTTACTCATATTTTTTTACTTTTGATCTAATTTGTTTTAGTATTATTGTATGGCGCATCTTGGTGCTATATTGTACCAAGTTTTTTTCTACGTTCAAATAAATAGGCTCAATAATCAGGAGTAGACTAAGTGGTGCGCGAGAGGATTAAACAGGAGAGAACCAGGCAGGCTTTAGACCTGGAAGAGGGTGTATTGATCGTATCTTTACACTTCGAGAGATTCTGGAACAGAGGTATACTTACCGCCGTCCAACAATTGTCATATTTCCTGACTTGAAGGCGGGATTCGATTCCGTCGACCGAGACGTACTATGGTGATGGGAATGGCGAGGTACTCTGCTTGCACTCATACAGCCAGATGAGATGACAACCAGTGGTGTCCGTCAGGGTTACTGCCTACTGTCTCCATTCCTTCTAATTTTATCATAGACATACTAATGGACTTAGACTTAACAGACTTCGGTGACTCAAGGATTGATTTGTTACCAGGGTATAATCTCATTGACTGAGAATATGTAGATGATATAGTCGTTCTACGCGAAGACGCTGACAAAATTCAGTCTTCTGATTAACTTGAGCAGAGATCTTCGAATATTTGGCATGCAATTCGCTCCTGTCAAATGCAAGGTAATGCTGCAGGTCTGGGATCCATTGACTCTTTGCTTAAAGATAAGGAGTGAATGAAGTGGTAGAGCGTGTTGACCACTTCATTTATTTTGTGGGAAGTCGCATCAGCCACAACGGACTGATCGCTGATGAAATCTCAACACGGATACAGGAGGCTCGTGTAGCATATGCCACACGCTTACGCCATATGTGGCTGAGTAGGCGTGATAACCGACTGGCTGTCGACCAGAAGACCTGTGTACTGCTCAGCGAATCAGTTCGCTCCGTCCTCCTCTATGGCTGGCTATTGGTGAGACAAGGCCATTGAAAGCGGAAGACGTGGTAATGCTGGCTAGCTAGTTGTCTTTGATCATAGGTGTCTGCATTCTATCTCCCCTATTAGGTGGTAGGCGTGATAAGGTGAGCAGTACTGAGGTTAGGCTTCGGTCAAGTGCTAGGTAAGGAGGGGGAAATCAAATAACGGAGCTATGAAGTTACATCTATTCAGATGGTTAGGACATGTGCTACACATGCATGTCTAGCCATCGCCTTCCTCGATGGACAATGTTAGCTGACATACGATAAATCAGGTTGGAAAAAACCTAGTGGGTAGTCAAACCAAGGCATGTGTATACTTGTCTCCTATTTGGGGTCGTCAGGATGGTAAGAAGGAACCAATGAAGACTGGAGATAATTGGTGATACGGCTGAAAATCGTTCTCAATGGCAGGCTCAGATACATCCACTCCTTGTGACTTATCATATCTAATAAACTATATTGTTCTTCCATATTCCTATTATTTTAGCCTCATATCTCTCTTTACTGTCTCTATTTTGAAATTCTTTTTTACTTCTCTGGTTTTGTGCGCTGAGTGAATTGTGGCGTGTCGAACTGCTGCTCATCGGTGCAAAGTTCAATTTTGAAACCTGTCATTCAGTTAATGTTCATCTTATATTTTTAAGTATTGGTTTGTTGTAGGGATTTTGTTTGATTGCATGGAGGATTTAATCATGAGCTGACATCAGTCAGAGAACCACTGGAAAACCTGGGAGTACTGGACAGCTGTTTCGTCCTAGTTTGTGACTCCTCAGCAGTACGCACCCACCGGGATTCGAACCCAGGACCTTCTGGTTACAAGGCGAGCTCGTAGACCATTGAGCCACTGGGACCCGATCCAATGGTCCTTGAATTCTAACTTCTGCCAGTTCACGCAATAGCGCGACCACTTCGCAATGTCTTCTTTGATGAGTTACTGCCTCATCTTCAACCTGCTGTACCCTACTGGTCCTGGGTTCGAATCCCGGTGGGTGCGTACTGATGAGGAGTCCCAAACTAGGACGAAACAGCTGTCCAGTACTCCCAGGTTTTCCAGTTGTTCCCTAACTGATGTCAGCTCATCTTATATTTGTTTGACAGTCCTAATCTACACACACGCACACACGAAATAATGATGTATGAATGAGGCTGTACAACTAAGTGAATGAATTCTCCGACAA